GGAACTGCCCACAGGGTCTCCAAGGCTGTCAATCTTCACAGAAGCAAAGCCCAAACCACACCCACTGCCCTGGAGTCGATTCTGACCCACAGCGCCCCTAGAGGATGGAGTGGAACTGTCCCACAGAGTGTCCAAAGGTGTCAATCTTTATAGAAGCTGGTATCTCAGGAGGTGATCACCAGCTCTTTCCTCCAAGGTGCAGTTAGCAGGTGTGCAAGTGAATTCCTCAGCCCCTGCCCTAGGACATAACATTTTAAATTTCTTCTTGTTGTTGTTGGCTGTCGAGTCAGCCCTGACTTATAGCGACCCCTCCTTGCGTTTCCGAGGCGGTATCACTACAGAAGTAGATTGCCCAACTTTCCTTCCGAGGAGTGGCTGGTGGGTTTGAACCACCAGCCTTCTGGTTAGCAGTCAGGTACCTTAGGCACTATGTTTGGTTATAGCTCCTGTGTTGTTGTTGTGTCTCAAGTAAAATCTGACTCACAACGGCCCCATAGGACAGAGTAGAGCTCCCTCACAGGGTTTCCTAGTCTGTAACCTTTACAGGAACAGATGGACGGTCTGTTCTCCTGTGGAGCGGCTGTTGGGTTTGAACCGCTGACCTTTCAGTTAGCCACTCAGTGCTCCATCGTTTGTGCCACCCGGCCACTTAGAGCTCCTTTAAATGAAGTTAAACGTTACGATTGCTCGGCAGGTGAGCCCAGTCAGAGCAGAGGAAGCTCGTAATTGTACTGGAGTGACAGCACTCAGATCTAGCGGGGCCCCTGTCCCCCGGCACCCTGCCTCTGCTGTGGCGTGGGGGAGCCTCCCTCCTGGCTGTGAGAGGAACACAAAGTAGCCTTTCCGAGCCCCCTTTCTGGCGTCTGTGAGGGCATGTCCACCCAATCGGCTCATTCAGTCTCTCCACAAATTTGGAAGGTAGATAGGACTCTCGTCATGTTTCAAGAGGGGGAAATTGAAAGTTAGAGCTGGAACGTGACTTGCCCAAGGTCATGATGCAGGGAGTGGTACAGGCTGGGTCAGAACCCAGGGCTGCCTGACTCCAGAGCAAAAAAACACACCTGCTGCCATGGAGTCAATTCTGACTCAGTTGCTTTTGCACAGGCCATAAAACACAAGTAAAAATCTTTCTGGTATTCTTTGCTTTGTGCCAAGATCCACCTGACATCAGTAATGATATCCCTTCTTCCATGTCCTCTTGTGAATGCAGCTTGCATTTCTGGAAGTTCTCTGTCAATAGATTGCTGCAACCGTGTTTGAAGTATCTTCAGCAAGATTTTACCTCCGTGTGATGTCAATAATATTGTTTGATAATTTCCACATTCTGTGGGATCACTTTTCTTTGGAATGGGTACAAATATGGATCTCTTCCAGTCAGTTGGCCAAGTAGCTGTCTTCCAAATATCTTGGCGTAGCCGAGTGAGTGCCTCCAGTGGGGCGTCCGTTTGTTGAAACATCTTAATGGGTATTCTGTTGATTCCTGGAGCCTTGTTTTTAGCCACTTCCTTCAGTGCAGCTTTGACTTCTTCCTTCAATCCCACTGGTTCTTGATCATATGTCACCTCCTGAAATGGATGATCATTGACCAGTTCTTTTTGGTCCAGTGACTCTGTGTATTCCTTCCATCTTCTTTTGATGCTTCCTGCATCATTCAATATTTTGCCAGTAGAATCCCTCAATATTGAAACTCAAGGTTTGATATTTTTCTTCAGTTCTTTCAGCTTGAGAAATGCAGCGTGTATTCTTCCCTTTTGATTTTCTAACTACAGGTCATTCACATTTCATTATAGTCATTGGCTTTGTCTGCTCAAGCTGCTCTTTGAAATTTTCTGTACAGCTTTTAGATGTTCTTTTAGCTTTTTTGTGTTCAGCTCACCTCTGCCTTCTCCCTTATTTAGCATTCATAACGTATGCCTTTAAGGCACTGGATGCTAATCAGAAGATTGCTGGTTCAAACCCACCAGCCACTCCACGGGAGAAAGATGAGGCAGTCCGCTTCCATAAAGAGTGACAACCTTGGAGACCCTGCGGGGGTCACTTTGAGTCAGAATGGACTCATTGACAGTGGGCTGGGCTAGGTTTTAACATATGCCTTGCTGCAGTACTGCTGTCTCTAATTCAGAGTGTGTTTGGCCACTGCCTTGTCCTGCATGCTGGAGGCACGGGGACCTTTCTCCAAGCCAGGGTGACAGCTTCCCTTGAGAAATGCATCTTTGGAGGAGGATGCAAATTCCAACCAAAAAACCTCACACTGTCTGTTGATTCCGACTCACAGCGCCCCTAGAGGACAGAGTGGAACTGCCCACAGGGTCTCCAAGGCTGTCAATCTTCACAGAAGCAAAGCCCAAACCACACCCACTGCCGTG